GATCTGTAAGACTGAGCCCAACATTTACATATTCATAGCATCAAAAACATACCATTAAGCCTATCACGCAGTACGAACATAATCCACTGTTGTTGCTACCGGTATCGATTAGGGCACGTACAAATCAGGTATATCGAGAGGGAATGACTTAGATGCCGCAAGGCACTCTCATTGGCGTTCTGATTAGATGCGCTTTGCTTTAAGCTGTTTGTATCCTCGCTTTCAACTCAAAACTACAAAGTCCAAACGTCAGAACCAGCAGCTTTGAGGTCATAAAGTGAAGAACGGTGGACAGGAATTTTTGCACTAAGTTTGTTTTCGCTGACCGTGCATGGCGTGCATTCGTACTGTATTGTATGCTTAGCTCATACTTAAGCCTACAATTCTTGACAAAATAGTTGGAACACCTTGTGGGAAGCGCGTTGCAAAGATCCCCCTCTCCCCATTCAATGTTGCGGTCATTTATTGGACCAATATTCGGCCCAACTTACCCAATGAGAAGCAACATTGACAGGGGGCGAGGGGGAGGCATGTTCCAACGAGATTTGTCCAGGATTGTAGCTCAACTTAGTGGAGCGTTAGTGCTCCTCTCTTTTATACTGGATCGGTCGTAGGCTACTAGTTAGTATGACCGATCCAGTACAGAATTCGAAAAAGAAGAGTACTCCCGTCCCACTCAATAGAGCTGACTTAGGCCTGTACTTTAGCGTGAATTTAAATCTACAATGACAACCGTTCCTTGGGCTCTTTGACATTGCTCCGTTTTTGTATAGCCCGTTGAGCCCATATTTTCCTAACCCATTGTAAAAAGCCAATAACTTATCATTAAGTAATTCTTTTTTTCATTTCCCCCAACCACAGATCCTTCGATTCCCGTCGACCCACCGAGCTTCCCATGCTATGTGGAACTGGATCCCACCTATATCATATACGTGAGAGCGTGCTATAAACTGGAGAGTTCGACCACAAGATCCTACCAAGACGCAGTCTCTTTCTGTGAAAACGACCACGAGGGCGTCAGAATCACCTGGATAGAGGATGCTTTCCAAGAGGCCTTTCTTCAAGCCATGCTGTTCAATGCTGGGATTAATTCTGCATGGATTGGCCTTGAAACACTACGAGTATAGCTGTTTATAATATTTTCATTCTACTGAAAGTTAAACTCGTCCGTTACCTTTTTTATAATTTGAATAAAAGTTCCGTGAAATCATCAACATAACATCAGATGACATATGATAAAAACCGTCAAAACTGAAAACATGATTTCTTCATTTTGTGCACTCAATATCATTTCGCGCTCATGAAGTCATTTCACACACGTTTATTTTATATCGTGCACTCAAAATAAAAAATTTGTAGACTTGAAATCATTTGGCGCACTCACAATCACTTCGCACGCCCGAAGTCGTTTCTAGTGCTCGGAACAACTTAATTCGCCGGCTCCAAATCATATCTCAAATGACTTATTTTGTCAGATTGGTTCTGGTTCGACATTAATAAGTCTGTACACAAAACACATTTACCGACTGTCTTCAACTCCTACGATGGGGAGGGGGCTGTCGATCATTCCTGGCGTCGAAAGAGTTCGTGTTGTAATTTTCCTTTTTCTAAATTTTTTGATAGGGTATCAATAACTTGAAGTGGCAGGGCAGGGAAGCTTTGACCTACACTAACTGGGCCAAGAACCAACCACAGGACACTACACGATGTGGCATTCTGACCACTGAAGGATGGAAAGATGAAGATTGTAATGCAAAGCATCCAGTACTCTGCAGACAGAATTTAGGTAAATGGAGACAGTGGTACTAATGCATTTAAGTACTAATAATCGCTACTTGTTAATGCTTGTTATAGACAGCCCTAAGTCATGTATTTAGATAATCGCAAAGCGATGGAGAAAATTGGTGCAAGTGGCTAATTTTAAAGTGGTTCCATGAGCTTTTTACATAATGTAAATTATGAAAATTATACACGGAATGATCTCGCTCTGAGCTATTAAAGGATATTGTATGGATTTCAAATTAACTCAAGACTTCTATTCTGACCTGCACAGCATAGGCAGGCGGGGATGCTTTCCCGTTGCCCTAATGAAAACAACAATTCCAAAGGGAAAATAAGGAACGGAAAGGGAATAAAGAAATAAAGGAGAACAGGGATAGAAGTATGCGTTTCCATTCCTCTCATTGAAAGAGCTTTGCACCTTCCAAGCAACACTCATTGGCCTACCTTCTGATAGCCTTTTGGTCGGCTGTTGCTGCTCAGTGTAGCATGTGAGGTAATCTTGCCCAGGTGCTAACAAAACTCTTCCTGGAAATTTTCTATTGTGAAAATTAAAATGCTTCAGCCCCCAAAAATTTTCGGTCACAAATCATATTTAACTACTGTAAAAAAACTGTGGATGCCGATTTGGACAAAAATTGTAAAATGGAATTTTTTTGTTCATTCAGCTTAGGATAATTGAATATAATGGTATGTGTTAACATATTTATCATGATTTTCATTGTTCCAGTTTTACATTTTTTCATAATGCCACTTGTTATTTGTCCCCACTTAATTTTTTTGTGTTGATTTTGCTGCTGTTAGTATCCCAATCACAAGCAAAATCTAGACATCCCATAAATTCTCCACTAAAGTTGAACCTGCAACTCTGCACCCCTTGGCCACGCCCCAATTGCTGTCGATGAAACCGTCATTTGATTGATATAAAATTTTTCCCTGCAGATCCCACTTACAAAGTAAGGCAAACAAGGCACGAAGTCAATATTGGGATCAACTGTGACAGTCCCTTTGATATTGTGACCCCACAGGGAGACGCCCATCTGTACCACCTACTTTTCCTGGGTCNTTTAAGTACTAATAATCGCTACTTGTTAATGCTCGTTATAGACAAACCTAAGTCATGTATTTAGATAATCGCAAAGCGATGGACAAAATTGGTGCAAGTGGCTAATTTTAAAGTGGTTTCATGAGCTTTTTACATAATGTAAATTATGAAAATTATACACGGAATGATCTCGCTCTGAGCTATTAAAGGATATTGTTTGGATTTCAAATTAACTAAAGACTTCTATTCTGACCTGCACAGCATAGGCAGGCGGGGATGCTTTCCCGTTGCCCTAATGAAAACTCCAAAGGGAAAATAAGGAACAGAAAGGGAATAAAGAAATAAAGGAGAACAGGGGGTAGAAGTGTGCGTTTCCATTCCTCTCATTGAAAGAGCTTTGCACCTTCCAAGCAACACTCATTGGCCTACCTTCTGATAGCCTTTTGGTCAGCTGTTGCTGCTCAGTGTAGCATGTGAGGTAATCTTGCCCAGGTGCTAACAAAACTCTTCCTGGAAATTTTCTATTGTGAAAATTAAAATGCTTCAGCTCCCAAAAATTTTCGGTCACAAATCATATTTAACTACTGTAAAAAAATCCATGGATGCCAATTAGGACAAAAATTGTAAAATGGAATTTTTTATTCATTCAGCTTAAGATAATTGAATATAATGGTATGTGTTATACATATTTATCGCGATTTTCATTGTTCCAGTTTTACATTTTTTCATAATGCCACTTGGTATTTGTCCTCACTTAATTTTTTGTGTTGATTTTGCTGCTGTTAGTATCCCAATCACAAGCAAAATCTAGACATCCCATAAATTCTCCACTAAATCTGAACCTGCAACTCTGCACTCCTTGGCCACGCCCCAATTGCTGTCGATGAAACCGTCATTTGATTGATATAAAATTTTTCCCTGCAGATCCCACTTACAAAGTAAGTCAAATAAGGCACGAAGTCAATATTGAGATCAACTGTGACAGTCCCTTTGATATTGTGACCCAACAGGGAGACGCCCATCTGCACCACCTACTTTTCCTGGGTT